GGTCCATTCGGGTTAAAGTTTGACCTTATATGAAAAAAAAACTTAATTGATATATAATTTTGAACTATGGAGCTTTCTTATTTTTCTTTTTCTTTTTTAAAAGGTAATTTTGGATTGTGGATCTTATACAAGATTTTTTCGACCATTCATTTTAAGTTTTCAAAAATTATCATATTTGCATTTTTTTTTTCTTTTTTTTTTGGAGCTCCACATTCATGGATTTGAGGCAACCATGAAATTGAAGAGACTTGGGATGTGTTTTCGGGTTGTAAAACCTTAAAAACGAGGTCGGATGCATGATTGTCAACTTCCCCAAAACTTTTCCTTTCTGGATTCCCGATTTCCTGCGTTTTAACCAAAGTAAAACAAAAAGCAACATAAAATTCAAACGAATTACTAGTCATTATATTTTAAATTTCACTTTTCTCGACTTCCAAGTTTATAGTTTCCCTCATTTCCATAGAGGCGAGTGATCTCCAAACCATGGTTAGCAAGTTAATTAAAACACGATTTTAATGTCCGAGAACCGGGCTGGTTTAGTTGGAAGAGGCCACCATGGTGGTCAACCGTCTTGATCACCCTAACTTAAAACAAATTTCAAAAAAAAAAAATTTATTTGTAATAAATTTTTTTAATATTTTCTATTGTTTTAGAAAAGATTGGGAAGCATTTGGGCCACAAATACTTGTTTTTACTTTTTTTTCCATTTTTTAATTATTTTTAAAATACTCCTGGATACAAATTGTTTTTTCAAAATTCATTTTATCACAACTCTTTTAATCTCATTTGGGTGTATTTTGTTTAATTATACTTTAAATATATATTTCATATTTTTGGGATTTTTTGATATATTTTTTTTAGATTTTTTTATCTCCTTTTAGCCTGGTCAGGACCTGCCCTGATAGGCTGATTACACATTCATCCAATCGAACACTGCACGATTTTTAAAAATCTTTGATTTTTTTGAAATTCCATAAAATTTCAGGTTTTTTAAATATTTTTTAAAAAATCACTTTTTTATAATCATTATCATCATCATTGTTAGAGCTTTTTCTACTATAATTAGGGTCGAGTACATGAATCTTGGTCTGCTATTATGCTATATTAAAGGGCCATACCCTCAATCAGTTCATTAGTCCCTATATCTTTTTTCACTATTTTTAAGCATATCTTTTTGAGCCTACTGCCCCTTGTTTTTTTTTAACCTTCCACTTAAACTAACTTGCACCTCATAACAAGTGGTGTACTGGGTTTGCGCAACACGTGGTCTGCCTACCTAAATCTACTTTCTCTCAATTCATCACCTATTGGTGCCACACCTAAATTCTCCCGAGTATATTTGTTTCGAATTCTATCCCTTTTTGTTTTGCTACACATCTATCTTAACCTCCACATCTCAGCTACACACATTTTGTAGGTACGCTATTTCTTAACCACCGACATTTCACCTAATAAAGCAAAAGCTAGTCTCATAGTTGTTTTATAGAATTTACCCTTCAGCTTCATTAATATGTGAAGATCACATAAAACTACGGTTTATATTTTACTAAAATGATATAAACATGCACTTTATTTTTCTTACAAAATACTTTCTAAAAGAAATTTCTTGCATGTTTTAATATCCTCATTTTTTTTTAACTTTCTTGAAAATTTCATACTCTTAGTTTTGAATCTTCGAGTTTTAATTCAACAAAAACTTTCCGAGTAACCTATCCTCGCACTCACATTTTCTCATTATTTTTCTTAAAAAAGACTTTCTAAAAGAAACTTCTTGCATGTTTTAATATCCTCATTTTTTTTTATCTTTTTTGAAAGTTCCATACTCTTAGTTGTGGAATCTTTGAGTTTTGGCTTTGAGGTGAGCTTATTAAAATGAAATTAGTCAAGAATTTTAATTCAACAAAAACTTTCATAAAAGAATTAGACCAACATATTCCGAGAATAACGTATCCTCGCACTCACATTCCCTCCCCCCATCCACCCCAATAAAATAAATAAATAAATAAATAAAAGGAAAGAAGAACTTAGAATAGTTATTAATGTATTTGAAGAAAAAAAAATGCTATTCCAAATTATCTATTTTCCAATACAATTGTAGGAAGTATAAACCAATTATATTTTTTTTCTCCTTAGCCATGGACATCATTGTGTAGTGGCGGACCAAACCACCATACCCATATTTTCTTTTAAAAGATTAAAGATATTATTATAAAAAGAAAATGGATTTTTTCTAAAACAAAAAAGTGATATCTATAAAAGAGAGTCAATAAAGACATATTATTCATCATTTTGAGGGTCACCTTTTGGGGGTTATGGGAAATGATCTTCAAAATTGAGATGGGCTTCCAAGATAGAGATATGCCCTCCAAGAGGAGGTATTCCCATGGGATTTTGGGTCAATTAAGCTTTCAAGGTGGCCTTTTCGACAGCAATATAGCGGTGGGAAATATGTTGATCGGCAATGTTTCTCGGTCGAGAGAACGGGGTTTAGAAAGAAAGATTGAGAAGGGTTTTTTATCGATTTTAGAGAGGTATATCTCTTGTAACCCAAAACTGTAATCTTCATTGCGATAGTGGATTTCTAGTTGCCGAGGCCATAGATGTAGCCCTACGGGTAACATAAGGCGTACCTGTGCCAACCGATATAAACAAACCATATAAGAATTGAACCTTATCCTAATTTCCACTACCTGAATCTAGTTGTGAGTGAATCTCTCAACTTGATGTAGGATCCTTGAGAACTCCTAACTTGCGGAACGTGGAATTTTTTGCACTCGATTTATAATTGTATTCATCTATTTTGCATTTAGCCAAACATATACACGATTTTAGGTGGGATCCCAATATTTAAGATTCCAAATTCGCTAAGCTAGGAGTTCCTAAGGATCCTACATCAAGTAGAGAGATTCATTCACAACTAGATTCAGGTAGTGGAAATTAGGATAAGGTTCAATTCTTATATGGTTTGTTTATATCGGTTGGCACAAGTACGTCTTATGTTACTTTCTCTTTGTATAAATAAGTTTAATTAATTTTATTTCATTTTTTTTAGTTTTTTTTTTTTTGTATTTCTTTAGGAGGGGGGGACAACTCAACAATTTGGATGGACCACTATTTCATATATTTGGCTTTTTTTGGATTTTTGTCAATTATAATCCTATATTAGCTTTCATTTTTCATGTTATTTACTAATTTAATTTTTGTACTTTCATTCCATTACTTCATTGTATATTTTGTGTCATGATGGATATGGAAGCATACATATAAGGTTGGCAATGGGTGGGGTGGCCTAGCATGGTCCTAATAGTAGGACCTAGGGCACCAAATGTGGGTTGAGGGGGCATGATAGGCCTGCCAGGGCCAAGCGGCATGTAGTTTATTAGGTGCCCCCCACCTCTCTCCTTTTTTTTTCTGCTTTTTCATATTTAATAGGCGATCTTATAGGGGCCAGGTATGGGCTTGGGCCAAGGCCAGCCTACCCCAGGCCCAACATTCCTACGTACGTGCTGTCAGGCTAAATTAGTGTTTGCAAAATCGGTTGGGTCGACCTGGATTCGGCCAGGTTACCTAGAACCAGGCTGATTAAGCTAAGAGAACTTAAAAAAAAAATTCAAGAAATTATAAAAAATCCAAAAAAGATAAATTTTGTTGTAATAGGTTTTTAATGCTTTCTATTGTTTTGGAAAATATTGGGAAGTAATTGGTCATAAATACTTATTTTTATCATTTTTTTTAGATTATTTCTAAAATGCCCCTAAGCACAAATTGATTTTTCAAAATCGTTTTTTCACTAATTTTTTTTATTTAATTTGGATATATTTTATTTAGTTATATTTTAAACATACTTTTCATATTTTTTGAAATTTTTTGAGATTTCCTTTAAAATTTTTTGACTCTTTTCAGCCTGTCTAGGACCTGCCTGGTTACAATTGCTTATCAAACCGGTTTTGGGTTACCCCCGGCCCATGGCTTTATTGAATCCTCACAGTAATGTAGATCGTATCTTTGTTTCATGACATTTATATGTAATTGATTTTTCATTTTATTTTAAGTCAAATCCAAAATATTCATGTTTCTTTAATGGAAAAATTATAAATGCACACCAAATTGACAAGTATTTGACATTTTACTATTTTTGTGACTATTCCTTGTGATCATGTGTATTATGACGAGTATTATGAAATTTAATTAAAAAATAAATAAAATGTTATAAGTTCATTTTGATAAACTTCTCTTATTTAATTTTTGGCAATTCATAATTTTTTTGTGACTATTTGCCACTTTTGACCAAAATCAATTTATTAACAATTATTTGATTTGTCCAGATAATGTTGTCTCCGACTTGGTCAAATCTACCATTCTTCTTTCTTTTTTTTTTGCTGCTAGTTTTTTTGTTTAACGCTTCTCTGATTTGCTTATGCATTGTTTTCCCGAATTGCTAAAAGAAAAAAAAAAAAAATCCTAATTAATAGCCACGTGGATCGTCCGTGTTTTTGAGTTGTCGGCAGCCGCTATTTCTAAAGGTAATTCAACGGCCACCTTTTCATTCAATTACCGTGTCATAACTTCGATGAATAATGGAGGATAAAACGGACGAATTTAATACGAGGATAGAACGCGGGTCAAAGCCCGCACAGGTAGAAATACGGGCTTGGCAATAAATATATATTTTAATTATAATTTTATTTTAATATTTTAAAAATAATTAATATTTAACATGGAAATCATGAATATGAAAAAAATATTAAAATTAAAAATAATATATTTAAAAAATATTTGAACCATTAATTACCATTGTTTTTAGATGGACCATCTATTTTCATCCATCTTTAAAATGGATGCTTTATACCTCTAAGCCGCATATGGTAGCAATGGGTCTAGCCCGCGTGACACAATTGGACCACTCTCACTTAAAAATATCCGAAAAGAACAAAAACCTTTATTTTTCTTTATATTTTTTGGGATAAGCCAAAAAGCCAAAAACAATAGGCCACGTCTCATTTCAACGTACTTGAATCAAAAGGTTCGCTTTCTTATTGATTATTGAAAAAATAATATCCCCCCATTTTCTGTTTTTTCATTTTGGGTTTTTACAAAATGCTTAATTAATCTGGCTATGAGGAGTCCGCCATTTCCGTTTTTAAACGTTGCAGTTGGGGATCCAGTCATTCTAAGGCCTTAGAGGAGGAGGAGTAGTAAGGGTTTCCTTTTCTTTTGAGTGGCTGATTTGCAGAGATGGGGTTGATTTCTGGTCTGTTTTTGGGAATGGTGGCTGGAATTGCTTTGATGGCGGGTTGGCAGCGTATGATGAGGTATCGAGGCACGAAGCGTGTGGCGAAGGTAAGTTTCGTTTCCAAAATTTTACCATTTTCTGTTGATGTTCTTCAGTGGGAAGTGGAATTCAAGTGGAAATTTAGTAGTTGTTTTATGCGAGAAGAGATCTCTTGTGCTGTTCTGGTGGTTTTGTGCTTAAGAACAAGTTTCCGGGTCGATTTGTTGACTTTGAAATCGCTGCACGGGATGATATCAAATGTTGTGCTTGTTACTCTGTTTATTTAGTTGAATTTTAACTTGATCATCAGTTTGTCCATTGATCTAGTGGAATTCTTGAGGCATTTTATTTAGTAATTTAGTGAGTTGGTTTGCCTTTTTATGGATGCCATGTACTGATTTTGATTTTACTGGGCGTTCCTTTAAACTTGGGTCTGTACTGTGCATTTTATGCGTTAATGCCACATCTCTATATAGTTAAAATCTGTAATGCACGTTTTTATGTTAAAGTTTACCTTATTGATGCTAATTGGGAGGATTGGAAATAACTTAGTGCCCTATTCCTCCTACAGAGAAGTCATGGATAGCTTTGCATAACATCAGTTGCAGGTGGATACCGTTCATCTAATCTTAAAAATGATAGTACCTGTCCATGTGCTTGAGTGATTGGGCGTTACGGAACTGTCTCATAAAAGTTAACTGTATCCTGCTTTTGGTATCATGGGGATATCATTTGGGATATTTGTTTTACTGTTTGGCCCCATTTGGGTCCTGGAATTTTCACAACCCATTTTTGTTTGGCACCAACCATTTTTTTCTCACAAAACCCAGGCTTTGAGTGACCTGGTTTTGATTCATTTTTGAGATTTCAGAAACCCCTTTGCTAGTGGGTTTTCCAAAAACCCAAGTTTGATGGGCCCGGGTTTGTTCATTGGAAAATGCTCTCTCTCTCTCTCTCTCTCTCTTTCTCTCTCTCTCTTTTACTGTGTGTGTGCATAGGTGTGTGCATGTGTGTGTGCGTGTGCGTGTGCAAGGAAACACTTGAAAAAGATGTGGATCCATAGCAGTTGCGGAACACCTGAACAAATGAAAAATTCATATATGAAGAAGATGTGAATTCTTCTCTCTTTACTCATTAATTTTCCCTCTACTTACCCTTCTACAATCACCCCAAATTCCCCTCATTTCTCTCTGCACTTCCCATCCTTATGAAAATTCAGCTAGGTGGCACAAATGGAACCCCCTCACTTTTAGTCACCCTAAATCCCAACTAAAAATTTACATCAGAAAAAGATGTGAATTCTTTTCTCCTTAGGCTTTTCTTTTTCCCTCTCCTTTCCCCTTCTTCAGTTGCCCGAAATTCTCCCCGTTTCTCTCTCCAGAACCCTTTGTGGCTTTTGGTAATGACCCTAATATGTGCATTGAATGGGCCTTGATTCACAGTGTTGAGTTGATTGATGCTTTGTGATTTTTTCCGCCCTGACTTTGTTGAAGCAGGAGATAGAAGTTTGGGGTGTGTTTTATAGTAAATCAATGTTAATGCATCTTCTTATAAATGAGATCCTTTCGTGTTGAAATAGACGATTTTTAGGGAAGAGAATTGAGTTTAAGTACGGATTACAGTGTTTTACTGGTGAGTGTTAGCTGGAATAAACATAACCTTGTACAAAGATGAGTAAGTTTGGTTCTTGCATTTCTGAAGAGAGAAATTTCAGTTTATATTCATCTTTACCTTGTTTTCATTGGTAATGCTTGATTAAAAGAGCTTGATCTCCAGTGAAACTCAGATTTTGGATCAAGGCCTTTTTATGACTTTTCCCAATTGAGAATTCAGTTTAAGACTCCTTATTGCATTCTCTTACTAGTGCTATTTGTTTGTTAAGAACTTGAAATTATTAGATTAGAAAACTCCAATCCTAGTCTTCTAAGTAGATGGGATTGTGGTTTTTGATGCTGCTTTTATTATGTTTTTGCTTGATGTTTTGACTAAGTTTATATCTTTACATTCATAGGAGAATTTTTTGTATATTCTCCGTCTTTCCATTGGTCTTCTGTACTTTGTGTGTTAATACTCCTCTCAAAAAATCAGCATTGATCTAATAACAGAGAGAGTGGCATTCCTCCAACTTCCTTCCATTAATTTCTGTTAGACATTTTTTTTGCAGAAACATGAGGATGATAAACTAATTATTTTCAATGATCTCTTTAAAGAATTGACCCAAAAAGCCTATAGATCTTACAAAAAGTAGAAAACTAAAGAAGAAATTGCATAGATCTTCAAAAAGAAAAAAAGAAGATGAAAAAGTAATTGCCCGTACAACTTGAACATCAATGGAAGGATACAAATTGATTGTTAAATAGAAAGGCAAAATAATAACCCTTACAAAGCGCAATGAGATACTATCAAGCAAATCCCATGTTTTACAAATAGCTGAGTCGAAGCAGTTCTAGTATAAAACTTGGGTTCTTTCTAGATGCTATTCAAACAGCATATAACATGTCAGAAAGCTAGAGAGGGAAAAGAGAAAAGAAAAGAGAAAAAGAAGAGAGAAAAGAGAGAGAGATATGATAGACTTGAGAGGAGAGAATGCCGTGAGGTCTGCACACTCACGCACCTCATCAATCTTTTACATCATTAAACAATTATGTTATCGACAAAAGTGCTCATAAAAATAAACTTAGGACATTTAGGTCTTATGACCTAGGTAAAGGAATTTTTAACACTCCTCGAGCTAGAGCATAAATGTTGCCCATGCCTAGCTTGGAACAAATTGTTTGGATCATATCATGACCAATGCCTTTGGTGAAGATGTCTGCCAGCTGAACCTTAGATTTCACACATGGAGTAGACACCTTCTTACTAGCAACTTCCTCTTGGATAAAGTGACTTTCGACTTCAATATGCTTGGTCCTTTTATGAAATACCAGATTACTTGCTATATAGGTGGCGGCTTTATTATCGCAATACATCTTCATGGGTTCGACATCAGTAAATCCCATCTCTTGCATTAGTGATTTTCTTCGCATCAATTCACATGTAGTATGTGCAATTGCTCTATATTCAACCTCTGCACTAGATTTAGCCACCATTATGTTTCTTGCTTCTCCATGTTACCAAGTTTCCACAAATATAGACAGCTTGTTAGATGGTGAACCTGCCCAATCAGCATTTGAGTAACTTTTAATGTCTAATTGATTATTTGGCATGTAAATCAAATGTCGACCTGGGGCTCCCTTCAGATACCTTAAAATTCTATAACCAACATCCCCGTTAGAAATCTTGAAAGCTTGCATAAATCCACTCACAAGACATTGCAAAAGCAATATCAGGCCTGGTGATGCTCAGGTAAATCGACCTACCTACCATTCTTCTGTATCTTCATGGATCCACAAACAACTCCCCATGATCAACTAATAATTTTGCATTGGAATCCGTAAGCGTATCCACTGGTCTAGCACCTAACATTCCAGTTTATGTCAACAAATCAGTCACATATTTTCTTTGAGACAAATTAATGCAATGCTTTGATCTGGCTACTTCAATTCGTTAGCTAGCCTAAATCCTTAGTTTGAACATATTGTTTTTGATGTCTCTTTAAATGACTGAGTCCTTCTTGATCATTGCCACTAACAATAGTATTATCAACATAGACAATTAAAACAATTATTCCGGAGTCTTATTTCTAAGCAAACACTGAATGATCTGCATGGTTGCGTCGAAATCCATATGCTACAACAACTTCACTGAACTTTTCAAACCATGACTGTGTGGACTGTTTCAGGCCATAAATGGCTTTCTTCAGCTTACACAATTTATTCGACTCCTCTTGAGCAACAAATCCAAGTGGTTACTCCATGCACATCTCTTCTTGTAGATCACTATGGAGAAAACCATTCTTTACATGAAGTAACCACAATGACCATCCCTTGTTTGCAGTCACAATATAACCACTTGAAGTTTAGCAACAAGTGCAAATAATTCAAAGTAGTCAATGCTAAATGTGTGTGTATCCCTTGACTACCAATTTGGCTTTTAATCTTTCTGTAGGGCCATCGGGTGGATATTCGACTTCATAAACCCATCGACACCTATTAGTCCTTGTTCTAGCTGGTAACTTGGTGAGTTCCCATGTATCATTTGAGTGGAGTGTGTCCATCTCATCTTCCATCACTTTCTTCCACCTAGTATGAGAAAGTGCTTCTTGATAGGTCTTAGGAACATAAATAGATGAAAGGGCTAAATCAAAACTTTGATATGATGGAGACAAATTTGTAAAGGTAATAAAATGTGCAATCGGATGTTGGGTACAAGACTTGATACCTTTAGGGATATGGCAATAGGTACCTCATCATCACAAGTGGGAAGTGCATCAGTGGACGAAGATGATGATTGAGTGGTTGGCTGAGTTGGTGGGGGATGTCCACCATGCATTTTTCTTCTGGTATAAACCTTTATGGGCTGCTCTTGAGAAACACCATGATGTGTAGATGTAATAGATTCAACGGAGTTAGGTAACTGGGATGAAGAAGAAGTATCAAGAGGAATAGGAAGAGGAATCATAGAAGCCGAGGACTTTGAGACTTCTTCAGTAGTAGGATAAAAAAATTTGTATCAAGCACACGACTTTCTTCTAAAAAAAAAAGGAGTATTTTAAAAAATGTAACATTAACACAACCAATTTTTTCTGTATACTAGGATGATAACAACGATAATATTTCTAGAAAGCATGAATACTCAAGAAAGACACATTTGACAACCAGGGGATCTAGCTTAGCATTACCGGTACCTAACATATGAACAAAGCAACCACACCCAAACATTCGAGGAGGAACACCAAACAATGGAGCATCAGGATAGAGAACCGTATATGGTGTTTTTTCATTTAAGATTAAAGAGGGCATACAATTAATTAAACAACATGAGGTCAGCAAGGCATCTCACCAAAACCTTGGGAATATCGATATTAATTAGAGAATGGGTTACTTCAAGTAAGTGTTGATTTTTCCTTCCAGCAACCCGGTTTTGTTGAGGAGTATGCGAACAAGAATTTTGGTGTAAAGATCTATTTTTGTCTATTTTGAACAAAACAATTCTCAAAATCTCTAGAAAGATAATCTTTAGAATTATTAGAACGTAACATGCACATATTCTTATTGAATTGAGTTTGGCTCTCCTTATGAAACAATTTAAAAATGGAAAAAATCGCATATCCCTCTTTTGTTAAATATCACCATGTCATTTTGTGAATAATTTTCTATGAAAGTTACAAAGATGCCTATTCCTAGACAAACATTGTACTCTAGCTGGACCTCATATATCATAATGAACCATTATAAGTGAAGCAAGTCTCTGGTTGTCAACTCTAGGATGAAATGATACCTTATGATGATTTCCTAACTGACAAGCTTCACACTCTAAAGTAGACACAGACTCCAAAGAAGGGACTAATAACTTTAAGATATTGAGAGAAGAATGACCTGGTCGACAATGCCATTCGAAAGGAGAATCAACAGAGTGAAGAGTGACACCAATCAGGTTATGATCCAACACAGGCCACTTGACTCATTACGTGTCATCAATCGTCCTCTTTGTTTTAAGATCATAAAGGACACAAGAAGAAGGATAAAAGGTTACATGAGATTTGGTTAATTTGCCCACAGATAATAAACTGAAAGGGAACTTTGGAACATATAGTAAATATGGTAGAGGAACACAAGTATGCATAACTATACTCTGTCTTGACATACTAGATACGATCCATTAACCAAGGTAACAACAAAATTAGGAATACACTTTATTTGGAGACAATAAAACAAAGGATTCACCGGTATCAGGTTTAAGGCTAGATTAAAATTTTAGCAATCCTAAGTTCTTGCTGCTTCTGCTATAATTCCACCACTAGAGATATGCTGATATAGATTCAGCTCTTCCCACATACCCTTGAGGGTACTATGATACTCACACTCTTATTACCTTGTTGCAATTGAAACATTTTCTCAAACAGCTCGTATACCTGAGAGATATTTTTATTTGATGAATGCGTTTCTTTCAAAGTCTCCCAAATTTCTTTATTTGTATCAAGAAACATCACATTGGCACTTATTTTGGGTTCTATACTACTCCATAACCAGGTCATGATTATGTAATTCTCCCTCATCCACTCTTCATATCTACTATTAGATTTACTAGGCTTGTCCTTAGTCAAGAATATCAATTTCCCTTTTTTGCACTGAGGGATACTTTGAAACTAGGTCACGATCTCTCTGTAGATCTTGACCTTGAAAGAGAAAACACACTCACGTCAACATAGATTGGCAACATCTTGAAATCAGGTGGATCTATCTCTACATATTGATCACAAAAGAGAAATCACACAAGCAGCAACATCGCCACACTAATTGCAGATCAACATGGCCTTTTGCAAAAAACCTTGAAAACAGCCCTAGGTTTTACAATCAAACAGTCCTACGGTTTTAAGATTAAAAAAATAAAGAAAAAAACTACTGCACAAAGAAGATAGAGGAAGAATGAAGATGGTTGAGGCAAGGATTAAGATGTTTGCTTTGTTAGAGAATCTAAAGCAAGAAAAGAGAAAAGAAAAGAGGCAAAGGAGAGAAAAGAGAGCATGATATGAGAGACAAGAGGGGAGGGAGTGCAGATTTTAAGGTTGACTTAAAGAAAACCAATCATAGGTTTTTTAGCCCAAACGCAAATGGCGCCGTCATGATTCTATCTTATTTTATGAGGAAGCCTCTTCTAGGCGCATTTGTTGTGATGAGCAGCATATTGTGATGTTATGTAAGGATTAGGTATATTAGCTGATAAATGACCTGCTTGATCAAGGATTCCCTTACACACATACATGTGGCTCCAAGTGTGCATGTCTAGTAAATACAAATAATAGTTTTAACTTCAATTCATGGGAATGAACTGTTTGTTACTATATCTGGGCACATCCATAATCTAGATGGGTGTCAATTATGTTTAGGCGTGGTTCAAGTAGGTATTTATATGATTGATAAATCAGCCACATGTGCACGTTGTATGACTTAGAGTACCAGATGCATCCAATGATGTATACTGTCTGTAGCTGTTCATAGGAAGAATTGCAAGTATTGTTAGGAGAGCTGAAACCAGATGTGCAATCATAAGATTTTCCAGTTTTATCTTTTTATCAGTTGAGTCACAACGATGCTAGTTGGCTCATTGTTCATACCTTATAGAAAATTCACAGAAATAAAAGAAATAACGGAAAGCTGCATAACTGAAAAACTATTTGAAAAACTATTAGAAAAATAACCTAGAAAATGAAAAAATAAGAAAGAGAAATTTCTGATAATCTATAAATTTTAACTGTCAAACTGTCAATCTCTGCATGATTACAAAAAAGAAAATCTTTTTTTTTTCCCCATAATTAGTTCGCTATAAAAGTGAAAATTTCTTATAAAATAATGGAATAGAAATTTTGTCATAAAGGACGTGATTATAAATTTCTATATATTTATCTACACATGGTTATGGATCATAAAATATTCCATCTATCCACAATCTTGTGGAACTTCATAAAGGCAAAGAGCTAAGTAATGAGTTTTGTAATATCATGTTAACGGTGGTGTTTGAGATGAAGCATGAAACATAGACACTATGCCCAAAGACCTAAACTTAGATATTCTTTAAGTTCCTGTCTGCAGGGCCTCAGTTATTGCCTTGTAAATCTAGCCTTCCATCACGTATATCTTCTAACAAAGATTTTGTTAGTGATACAAACAGCACAACAATGGAGTTATGCAGTTTAATATTTGAAAGGTGAAAGTAGCATTGTCAGCTTCATTTCACTGTCCATCAAGTTGACTCGAGGGATTTCTTGTGAATCCTTATTTAAAGAAAACGACCCGACCCTTCTAATGGTTGGGTCCTAAATAATATGGTTTGGCTGAATTTTTGGAATTAACTGGCGATTCTGCTTTGAAGTATTCTGCTGAATAATAATATGCTCTATTTGACCTTGAAGTTATTGTAGTATAGAGGGGGCAATGTTCCCATGATACTATAGCTCAGGTAATTGAAATTGTTATATGAACTCATTCAGTATAGTTGCTTTGACAAATTTCACAATAATAATGACACTGGATTTTGTTTCAGAGTTCATTACCTTCTGGTTTAATTGACTTTATTGTAACAAATTTAGTTGCCACGATATGCATATAGATAAATTTTACTTTCATTATGCAGTTCGGTGTACGACAGTCTTGTTATTTACTTTGTTGGACAATGATAATTTTGATGTGTCGTTTTGTTGAGGTTTCTCGAATCCATTGATACACATAGGTGGTGTTTGAAGATAAGTTGGGAACATAGGTGCATGATTAGGATTGGGTTAGGAATTGAGATCCCCAAAATTTAGGATCCCGATCCCAACCTTTTAGGAATCGTTCTTCGAATCTTAAAGAATATATATATAATCTAGAACTGTGCACACTTTTTAAAGTTTGGTTTTCTTTATTTATAACCAGCAAGCAATGCAACTATATTAAAAGTGTAGTTGCATTGCTAGCTAGCTATAAATAAAGAAAATCATTGGTTTTGTTGTTAACTTGATCTTAAGGTGGGGATCGAGATCTCAAAATTTAAAAATTGATGTCCCTTTCCTTGAGTGCAAGAGCTAGATTCTGGTGTGGGATTACCCGCTAAGTGGGGAAATCCCAACAACTATGGCTGGGAGGATACGTTTTTGAGATGGTCTTTAACCATAAATTTATGTTTATGCCTATTAGCTATCACATTTTCTTTAACTTACAAAGAGTTTGATGTTGATTTATTGTAATTGCTATATCTTTTATCTCTGAACATGTGTCAATAATAGTGAGCTTTTATATTTGCCATTGCTAAGCTTTGAACGTGTAATGATAAATGCATTATGAAATTTCGAGTACATCATATGATATAAATTTTGAATTAGTACTTTGATGCTTTTTATTTTCTTTACCATTAAGAAGTGGCATGGATTTTTCCTTCAAGGCCTATATATGAATTGTGACTTTATTCTCTTCTTTGTTGAGTTGGTTGCATTTTCACTCTAGTCTATAATGTTTTGCAGGCAGTTGATCTAAAGATTTTAGGATCTCTTAATAGGGATGACTTGAAGAAACTTTGTGGTGACAACTATCCTGAATGGATTTCTTTCCCTGCTTATGAACAGGTCAGGTGTATCTAGGAAATTGTTTTGGATCCATGTATTTTTATCATTGATAAATTTTCTTGCACTTGGCACTTGTCTTTAGCAATTACGTTCTAAATGTATCAAAGGGTTTAGTTAGCTTAGTCCACCTATTTGGTTACTAAGGAGATGTTTGTGATGTTAAAATAAATACCCTCATAAATCTTCACAAATACCCCCTGATTTAAGTATATATCAATGAAGCATATCTACTTGTCATGACTCTTGATTACACCATCAACTGGAGGATCAACTGATATAAGTGATATTTTGTTCACTAATCAGTTGTGTTTGTTTTGTATCTCTTAGTGATATAGTGAACAAATGATGTTATCCTATTGATGTAATGCATTTGAGACTGATACTACCATTAGGTAACCTGTCTTCCAACTTAGAACATTTTAACTCTGTGCTTTATGTTAGACACGCAACCTAGGTGTTGATCATGCTCCTAGATTTTTCTCTATTGCTCCTGGATAGGGATCTTGATCCCCACTTTTTAGAGATTGATCCTAGCCACTTGAAGGGGCAACAAGAGGCTAAGAAGATGACTCATTTAGATCCTAGTTGTGTTCATACTCACACTCTCTAATGCTTTTGGATGTTATAAAGTCTAAAATTACAAATAAAGCACCTTGTTATGCATTTGGATGTTGCAAGTGTGTGAAACCATAAATAAAGCGAATTTTTTAAAAATAATTTCTATTGCATTGTCATTGTACTCTTTTTTTTTTCTCTTGTATTTTGTAGGATTATTGTTACATATGATACATCTAAAGAGGAATATAAAACTATTATTTGTTAATTAAATAAAATTTAATTAAATAGAAAGGAATATAAAAATATTATACTCATTAATTATGCCTTGTCTTGTAGAAGTATGATTTCTTGCAATTTTTAAGGTCCAAAATATTGGCTGGACAAAGGGAAGCAAGTTTTGATATATAATTCCCATGTAAGTTGATAGAGTTTTAAATAAAACTTATCATTGATCCTTTGCCTAATGGTAGAATTTGACCTGTTTCTCATTTTTTGTTTCTCTCTCGCAAAAGAGAAGATTAATCTTTTTGAGAAATAAGGTTGTCAAATGCAAGGTGTGGGCTTAAGATTTTAGGGGGTTTTGATGAACTATGCTCCTTGATAGGGCCGTGATGTAGGAGCATACCTTCCAATGCAGATAATAAATATTAAAATCGTACTTTAAGAATATAAAATTTATAAAAACATAACTGGGGCTTAGGTGGTAGCACCACCACGACCCCAGCCCCATTTTCAACATAGTTCAAGTGTTGATTGTAAGGAGCCTAGACACTATATCACCTTCACAATGTTCGTCAAAAACTTTGAATTCGCAAAAATGGATCGATCGTTTTGGGGCCCTTTGGATCCTAGCAAAAAGATTACAAGGAAATAGGTTTCTAGTGAGATTCCCCATTTTAGCTGTTTGGATCCAAAATCTGGGGTGGAAATTAATTTTTATATATATATATATATATATATATTAATATTTAGCCCAAAGCAGAGGAATTATTTTCCTCCCAACAGGCTGAAAAATTTATGTCCATGTCAAATTTCTTTACGAAGTCGAATAAAGCAAAAGTTAAAACGAGCGTATGGCTCGTTGGGTCCCGAACAAAAAAGGGCAATCTCTTTCCATCTCACCCTCGCCCTCTATCTCTCTCCCCTTGCTAAACCTACTCCACTAACTCTCTCTCTCTCTGTCTCCTAGATATCTCTCTCTCTCCAATTTTTATACCTTAGTTTCTGATCTCCTTGTCTATCTCTCCCATTGTTTGCAAAATCGAACCAAAATGGTTAATTGGACATAGGGCTGAAGCCGTTTAACCGGCTTAACCGGTAAACCGGACGATTCAACTGTTCTAACTGGGCAAGTCTCGAGGCGGTCAAAAAATTGTTGCAAAAATAAAAAATATACAAAAAAAATCTACTAAAATATGAAAAGCATATGAAGAACGATTAAAAAAAACACATTCAAATGAAGTTGAAAATTAATGAAAAAATGGAATTTAAAGGTGCCTAAGAGTATTTTTACAAATTATCGAAAAAGATGGAAAAATATAAAAGTGAGTATTGATGACCAAAACAATTTCTAATCTTACCATAATGTAAAGAATATTAAAAAATATATTACAAATCAAATTCCTTATTTTAAGATTTTATGTATATTTTTTAAATTGTTATTTTTTAAATACTGGTCGATCACCAAAACAGCCCTAAACCGGTTCCGATCTAATCGGGCGGTTATCGGTTAGATCACCCCATTTTTCTAACATGGATCTCTCCCCGTTTATAGAAATTTCTTTGTACTTCCATCTTGCTCTGGCCGTTACATTCTCTCTATCTAGACCATGTTTTTCTTCTCTAGAGATTCCCTGCATTTAAACCCTTTATGAAATAGAAATGTATCTTCCAAGTTGCATCCAAATGCTATCTAAATAGCAAAAACCCATTTTGCACGAAATGTTTTTCAAAGGTAATAGTTTTTTTTTCTCAATCAATTTTTTCTAGGGATTGAAATGGTGCCTTAATCCCCTTGAATCCAAGAAAGATTTGGGCATTGTTTCCAGCTTTCCGCTAACTAGTGTGGTCCACATAGGTGTGCATGCCATATAGTGTGATGTGCCCACATATGCGGCCTATACGTTGCCTAATCAGATGCATCTTGCAAGCCTCCATAGATTGCCATATGTGGTGCAACCAAGGGCCACACTGCTTTGATGCGATGTGTTATGCGGCCACATCTGATAACCATGATATCCAACGGGAAGTGTCAGAATCTTCATAAGTTAGCTGGATATTTGATGAATATGGCAGTGTAATACCAGAGTGTCATGTTGATTATGATTTTCTAGGGGTTTGGACAAACTGATAGACTACTCAACATATACTTGTTCTAGTAGTGATGAGATACAAATGTCTACCATGCAAAGGTCTGTAAAGAATTGAAATCACCATCTGTGTTTGGTATAGAGTCCTTCATATGCGTCAGAGTGTTTCTTTTTGCAAATGGAATTTCTGAAGTATCTGGTTGTCAAAAGTCTTCAAGGAATGTGATGTAGGGAAATTTGAGGCAACAGTAAAGTCAACAAGGAGCAAAGCTAAACACAAGCATAAGTGGAAGAAACCTATGGTTTCTTCTCCATACCCCAAGCTAGGGTTCCTAAAGCCTGAGCTTTCTCTCTTTCAATTTCTAAAAATCATGTGTAATTGACCTCTCAAGGCCCCACACACCTTATATATTATAATTCAATGTTCAAGGACATTATATGTCCATACAATAATTAAAATGACCTATATATCATAACTTAAACTTAAATTTTGTAACAAAAATTCACCCCTGTGAATAATACCCATGAATAGTACTCATGAATAATACTTGTGAATAGTTCCCATTAACTGAACAAAAAAACTTAAAACTCTAGAATCCTTAAAAAATTAGAAACCCTAGAAATAAGCCATAAAAGCAAACTATAATATACATCCTTTGAAGTTGAATAAAACTAAAGGATAAGAACAAATTTTCCCTCCATCATTCTCTCTTGGTTGGAGAAAACTCATCATTGAGTTTTGAAGTATGCTAAGATGAAACTGACGTTAATCCGATAACATTCTTCAACTCGATTATAAACATGATCTTGAGACTTGTTGATTACTACACTAATCAAAACACAATAATTGTTCATTGGAACTGAGAAACCCTCAAGGAAAGGGTCACTGTATGTTGATAAAATATTTTTAATCATACAAACTTGTTGAAATTTGCATCATTTCAGCCATATAACCATGCGGAATTTGCCCATACTCAGCTCTAGAACACACCTCGAGTGCATCTTTGAGATCAGCGATTAAACCAACTTCACCCTCTTCCAAAATATCTTCATCATCATCGTGATCTTTATCATAGATTGGATCTCCTAAGAAATCTTGTTCATCTGAGTACATATTGAAGATTGGTAGTAAATCACAATCTACAATTTGCTAAATTTCTATGCAATCTGTATCATAGTAAAAAATCTCAACTTCCAAATTGAAAACCCTAGAATGATGTTCCCCACATCTAGGTCTTCTATCGTTATCCTCATCACTCGACTCCACACACGGAGCGCAAAAGTGAAAAGGCTTGTATTCGAAATCTTCTTGGGCTAAATGGTCACTGTCTTGGCTATTATTGAGGCTGGCGACTTGCTGCGCCAACTGCTATACTTGCATTTCAAGTTCCTCAATTCTGTCATTTATTGATCACAAAGTGGATCTACGAAAGCTTCCCTCCTACGACCCCTTTTCGTTGCCATAGGTTCGCTGAAATCATAAACTCTAGGCAAATAATCAATAAAAATTGCTGAAATCATCAGGCTTTAAGTTGTTTTGGCAAAACTTTGGCAAAAAATCAGCAAACCCTAGACCCCACTATAACTTCCCCTCTTTGTTGTTGACCGAGGGCACCAAAAAACGTGGTGCTACATTAACTCTATACATACTACAGTAACTTCTGTACATGTTACAATAACGTCCGTACTTGCTACAGTAACTTTCATATAGATCGCTAGCTTTGATACCACTTGATGCAAGGAAATTTGAGGGAACAAAAAAAATCAACAAGGGGCAAAACTAAACACAAGCACAAGTCGAAGAAAATTAGGGTTTCTTCTTCATACCTCAAGCTAGGGTTCCAAAAGCCTAAGCTTTTCTCTTTCAATTTCTAAAAATAAGTGTAATTGACCCTCCCAAGGCCTCACACATCTTATATCTTATAACTCAATATTCAAGGATATTACATGTCCATACAATGATTAAAATAAGCTATATATCATAACTTAAATTTAAATTTCGTAATGACAAATTGACCCCTATGAATTATACCCATAAATAGTACTTGTGAATAGTTTCCATGAAATAAACCAAAAATATAAAAACCCTAGAATCCCTAAAAAACTAAAAACCCTAGAAATAAGCCCTAAAAGCAAACTATAATATACATCTTTTAAAGTTGAATGAAAATAAAGCATAAGAACAAATTTTCCCTCCATCAGAATGATTTTTCTTTTTCAGTTTCATCATGTTACTTTGTAATTCTTCACTCGGTTTCAGTTGTTTTCTGAGCTGATTGAGGTGTATTCTTTCCTTATCTGTTGTTGCAGGTGAAATGGCTGAACAAGCAGCTGAGCAAAATGTGGCCATTCATTGCAGATGTAAGTCAAGACAAGATTTATCTTATTGAACGAATTTGTGTGAAGGCTATCTTTTGAGAGTTTCTCTATCCACACCTTGATTTGGTTGATGTATTTTGTAGAACCATAAAAATACCTTTAGAAATGAAAGAATTGTGCATTATCATTATTTGATCTCTTTTTGCTTGATCCTCTGACTAGGAAGCATCTGCCAGTTACAAATTTGTTATGTTAATAAGTTGGTTACAAATTTGTTCTGTTAATAAACACTTATTATCAGGACATAGGATTGCTTTGGTGGGACTGGGAGGTTTACAAGGTCATTTGGAGTGCACTTTTTTGTTTTTTCCCAAAGAGAATATAGGTTTGCTTTTTTAGCCAGAAAAACGATACAGAATATAGGTTTGCATTGTATGTGTTCTATGTAGTTGGATATATTTTTAATTAATCAGGTTGTTATTCGACTTCCTATTTTCAGCTTCAGTTTATGTAGACTTTCTACTTTTCAGTTTGTTTACACGCAAACTATAATAGTTACAAAGCACTTGTTTTAACTTTGAGGAGTGTAGTCCTCCAAGTTTTTATATTTGATAATGCCCACATACATGAACAAACATTTGGTACTTTCCTTAATTCCATCCACGTTTCTACATATGGTTATTGTTGTTGGGTCGGTGTCAATGAGATTTTGGAGGTTCCTCGCTTCTTTTGTCAAGTATGCTGTGGTTCTTCTTTTAGTTGTATTTTTCTGTGATTGCAGTCATGTACATTGGTAGATTACTTGTTTTGCAGGCAGCATCGATTGTCATTAAGGAATCTGTTGAGCCTTTGTTGGAAGACTATCGACCCCCTGGGATTTCATCCTTGAAGTTCAGTAAATTATTTCTAGGACATGTGCCACCCAAAATTGAAGGTTTGAATGGTCTTTTGAAGAACGAACATATTCATGTCTTGTATACTGCTTTGCGTTGTGTTTCAGACTTATGTTTTGTTGTTGGATTTCATGTTTTGATTTAAATTTAAGGAACACTCATCAAAATACAGACCAGAGATGCACTATTTAACGTTTTACACAGTCGCCACTATTCCAATTTGTGATCATGTGTCTTTTGATGAGCTTTTTGAAATCAAATCAAACTATATGGGTAAATGTTAAGTAGTTCATATCTCATAGTTATTTTGACAAATTTCCCTAAGTTAATTTGATATTGGGATTTGGGCACTTGGCTTGGTGGTTAGTGCATTGAGGGGCTGCATCGTTGCCTCAGATTTGATTCCCACTCCTAACTTACCTCAGAAACCAGAAAAGGACAGATCGATGTCTATCTAGTCCAGTGTTTTTAAAATGAGGGATGCCGATGTGGGTGCCGATGCAGCGATGCGGTCTAGATGTGAGTGCATCGCGGCGATGAAGTCAATAAATATAAAAAAATTCTAAAAAATCTAAAAGAGTAGGTTAATGCATAAAAAAAATATGGAGATGATATATATGTGATAGTAGGTATTTAATTTATTCTTTAACGCCAAAAATATTAGTTGTCGGTGATTTTGTATCCACTGTCCCCTGATAGAAACTTGACACTAGCTTCATAAAATATTCAACATCACAAATTGGCAACCACAAACTTTAAAGTTACAAAATACTTGAAGAAAGTATCGATTTCTTCATGGCCTTGAAACCCTCGATTTGTTGTCACAAGTTCGCCTAAACTTCCTCAAATCAACACCCAAAATATACAAATTAACAACCAAGAATCAACAAATGCACAAATTGAAGAACTTCAACAAATAAAATTTCAACCAATTTTTTTTTTTTATTCAATTGATCCAATAAAAGCGACGGATGTGGCTGAAAAATGTTGTTTGAGAGGTTTAATACGCGCCCAAACCCTTTCCCCCCATTTTCGAAGGTCAAAATGACCTTATTACCTCTGCCCGAGGGGTACAGTTTAGAAAAAATTCGCGGAAGTTTATGCGGCCTGATGCACTGAGATGCGGGATGCGGCTCTGATGCGGAGAGATGCGGCGCAAGAGATGCGGCGCATATGCGAGCGCATCTCTCCAAACCGCATATGCGGGGATTTTTGATGTGCTGACCAATGCATCGCCTGATGCGGCCGCATTTTAAAACACTAATCTAGTCTTTTTTTCCCTACATAATACTGAGAGAAGGTATAGATTTTCTTTGTGAATGCTAGCATACATAGCATATTTGTATATGTAAATATTGTAAATAATTAATAATCGCATGTCTATTGAAGACCAATGTTTAGCGTGGAAGACTCCACCTAGGTGGCCAGGGGTCCTAGCTGCCTATGTGGTTCCCTCGTTGTTGAGGGATCCTAAAAACAACGAGATAAGGGAAGAACGCGCAGGAGGGGTGGGGGGTATATGTGATACCAAACCCCCTAATGTGATATTTTAACAATTAAGAAAATTGACATTTGATTTGCTTTTTTGTGTTGTACATACATACAGTAGTTTGAAGCAATGGTTTAAAAAGCGAATCGGTGACCCAGATCAGGCACCTCAAAAATCGATCCGGATCGGCGAATTGGCGATTCGGATCGAGAATCGGCTGAATCGGTCGGATTAAAGCTTTAAAAAAATCCGAAAAAATTATTAAAATTCATTATAAATGTTGTTTTTTAGGAATCCAATAAAAAATGAGGGTACTACATTATTAACTTTCATTTTTTTTATCAATTTGGGAATATTGCAATGTTCTTTCCCTGTATAAATTTATTTTAACTATTAAATTTGCATCACATAAAAGAAAAATCATAGAATTATCATGGATAAAATATATAATTATATATGGACTATTATAAAAAGTAGACTAATCAATGAAAGAATGGTTATTAAAATCTCGTTTTGGTGAAAAACCCTAACCCGCTAAAAAAACCCAAACTATTACAGCCTAACTAACTATAATCCAAAATTATTACAACCTCACTAATTATAATATTATATATTGAAATTATAATTATTAGTTTACATTTTATAATTATTGTATTAGACAAATAATAACAAATTAGAAATATTTTATAACATTATCTAATTTAAAATGTATTATTGACAACTGTAAGAAAAATAGTACATTACATGATTTATAATGTAAAAATTCATAAATAAAATAAAATATTTGGCTATCAATATAAAAATTAATAAAATGCGTACAAATTTTGGAAATAACACTTCAATTTTTCAAAAAATTATTTTTTTAGGTTTCTATAATAAATTTAGTAAAAGAGATTGTTAGTAGAAAGATGGAGAGTTCAAATAGAATAAATTTTTTATTTTTATTTTTTTTATACTTTTCATATTATTTACAAAAATAATTATACCACTATATACAACAAAAATTAACTGTTATATAAAAAATTAATTTTTTTATTTTTCATTTTTTTATGTCTTTTATATTATTTACAAAAATATTTATATTTATACCAACCACTATATACACAACAAAAATATTTATATTTATATTTATACCAATAACTATATATACAACAAAAATGTAACACATGCTCAAGGGGATTCGAAAACAACAAAAATATTTATACCAACCACTATTATACACAACAAAAATGCAGCACATGCCCAAGGGGATTCAAATGCAACACATGCCCAAGGGGGTGCCCAAGGGGATTCGACCTTGGGACCTCAATTAAAAGAATCAAAGTCATAACCATCAAGCCATCTAACTACATGTGATTATAAATTGCTGATTAATAGACTATATTTACATTTCGTTTTCATTTAATGATGTTCGGGAATTATCCCACATCAAAAGATGGGTATTCAACATTGGTATATAAATACCTATGCAATATGAACAATAAAATGTGTGTAAAAATATTAGGGCAACCTCACACGTGTGCACGTGTGAGTGTACGTGGGGCACGCTCGCACGTGCGCTTGGACACACGTGTGCACGCGTGAGTGTGTGGGGGGTATGGTCGCACGTGTGCTTGGACACACGTGTGGGTGCGTGGGGCACGCTCGCACGTGCACTTGGACACACGTGTGCACGTGTGAGTGTGCGTGGGGCACACTCGCACATGCGCTTGAACACGTGTGTGCATGTGAGTGTGCGTGGGACACGCTCGTACGTGCGCTTGAACACACGTGTGTGCGTGTGGCACGCTCGCACGTGCGTGTCATGCGTTTACGTGTGTGAACCAGGTTGAACCGGGCTAAACCGGATAGAACCGGATGGGAACCGGCGGTTCCACTCTAGAACCGGGCGGTTTCCGGTTTTTGTTTAGAACCGGCACGGGCACGCGTGTTTCCGAGTCGAACCGGGCGAGTCCGGTTCGACTCGCCGTTTTTTAAAACACTGGTTTGAAGCTTAAATTATTAACCTTTAGAAATTCGAACTTAATCAAACATGAATGCTGAACTTGAGATGAAATAAAAAATCACTTCAGTCATACAACATTGTGAATAGGGAGTGGGAGTAAGGAATAACTTTCATAGGCCACGTATGCCTTATGTATAAAGAGTTATATTACATGCCATACCGTCTTACTAATCACTACCAGAAAGTCCTTAAAATCAAAAGCCTCAAAATAAGAAAACAATTCTCAAATTGCAAACTGTCGTCACTGCCATGTCCACTATTATCACCACCATCACTATTAGTTGCTTTTGATGTCAAGCCATCATCATTAGATCCTGTGTAATATAGTGTTTGTCTTCCTCTATCTCATTTGATTTAGCCTCATCCTCGTCCTCCCCTATTGTCTTTATGCTCTTTCTTGAAGATCTAAATCCAATGGCCCCTACTAGGCTCAACGAGGTCCCAACAGCTTCACATACTTTGCCCTAGCTAAAGCTCTTTCTAGGGAACACCTCATCATCTCCAGCACTGACTAACCATCTAAGAAATCTCCGTATCTCACATAGGAATGGGGTCGATATAGTAGCGCTCTTGTTGACTAACCTTTGATTTTAACCTTTTAAGAAGATTGTACTATCTGTTTTCGCTAGAATTTGTTTCTTTGTTTTTTGCATGGTCCTATTGGTTAAGAAACCATAATGGAAGTTAGGGCTTCCTTGTTAAGGCATATGAGGACTGATAGAACTTAGGAGTAGTAGGACAATGGGTTAAGAAATTGCCAACTCGAATGAGTTGAAGTTGTGCTCGTAACCATAAGAGGTACAACTCAAACTCAATTTGCAAAGGTTAATCTTTTGCAGGTTCGTGGCTTTTCCCCCTTGTGTTGCTCATCATAGAGCTACATTACAAAAAAGAAGAGCATATGTGGCATAGATCTAGTTGCTTGGAGCTAAGGTATAGCAAAGAAGAAGATAGGGAAGATCGAAAATTAGAGAAAGATGGAAAAACCAGAGATAAAAGAAGGAGCACTTGCTGCACTAGGGCTTTGAGTAAAGTCCATAACAAGATGCTTTGTTATGCTTGAGTACATTTCTTATATAAGAAACTCTAAACAAGACTTAATCATGTCCATCAAACAAATCTAATCATGGCCATTTATTATAAAATACTTTAAGTGAATAAAAAGACATAAAGGCCTCTAGAAATTAGTACTTATTGCCCCTAAGTTACTAAAACGACTCAAGTAATAAGTAAAAAACATAAAAGGACAGATTCACTGATTATTTTACCCTTTTGTGATTCCTCTCTTAAACTGAAGCTTGTCTCTCTTGTCTAGATACTCGAGAATAGTATTTTGGGTTGCATCAGTTCCCCTTCATCAAAGGAATTCTCTCCCCTAAATACATCGGCTTGTCATCAAAGGTATCACCACGATATGGAATGAGATGCTTGACATTAAAAACATCGGAAGTACAAATATGGCTAAGCAACTTCGATTTGTAGGATTGTCATTAATCTTCTGCATCACTTCACACAATCTATTCTTATGCTGGCTCAACTTATGATAT